TATGTTTGCTTAAGCAACAACACGAGACAAGAACCTTACTTCCTATTTAGCTGAAATCACTTCCCTTTCAGAAAGAAGAGCCCCTGAAACACGCAAGGGCATGTAATTGAGAGGCCTCACAGTGCACTTGGCACCTGACCCTTGGCCCCCAGTTTGTAAGCAGCTCTGCCCCTGAATATTAGTAAAATATATCATGCAGACAGCCAATCATTCCTAAGGCCTGAGACTACTGGCACCTAAACCTTAACTCCGGGATGATTATTAACTTCATTTGCTCTGGAGGGAAGTATTTAGGAAAGACTGCAAAAGAGTATGGAACTAAGGAAATTGTATTGTTTCTCAGTGCTCCAGAAGAAACCTCTCACTGGGCTGGTGACAACAATGCTTTTGATTAGACTACAAAATCTTAAACATGAATTCCGGTAGGCTTTTGTCCTTTGGTTTACTCTGCTGCTCCCATGGGGATTGGGCTTGTTCTGGAGCGAGAGAAAACTGAGCTGGGGCCAGACCACTTAGCCAGCCCCGAGCTGCCCAGTAACTTTATTAGAAAATATCAGTCTTCCTCTTTAACTAAAAATTTTTTGAAGTATAAAAATATATATATCAAAAGTGCATAAATCTTATAAGTACAGCCCTATGAATTTTCACAAAGTGAACACACCAGCATCATAAAATGGAGCCAATGCTCCAGGAGCACCCCAGCCCCCCGTCTCCAAGAGCAACCACTATCCTAACTTCTGACTTCACAGATTAGTTTTTGCCTGTTTTTGAACTTCATATAAATGGAATCATGCAGAATATACTTTTAAAGCAATCTCTGGCTTCTTTCAACGTCATGTTTGAGATTCATTGAGGTTGATGCGGGAGGCAGTATTTCATATTCTGTGTAGCTATTGTACATGTAGTGCAAGATTATAACAATTTACTCATTCATTTTACTTTTTAAAAAATGTTTTATTTATTTATTTTTAGAGAGAGGGGAAGGGAAGGAGAAAGAGTGGGAGAGAAACATCAATGTGTGTTGCCTCTCACGTGTCCCCTGCTGGGGACCTGGCCTGCAACCCAGGCATGTGCCCTGACCGGGAATTGAATCAGCGATTCCTTGTTTCACAGGCCCGTGCTCAATCCACTGAGCTACACCAGCCAGGGCTCATTCATATTACTTTTGATGAACATTTGAATACATGTTTTTTGGTAAACAGTGTTCTCTTAGGAACGGAATTGGTGGGTCTGAGGATACCCATGTTCACCTCTAGCAGATACCAGCATTTTTTCAAAGAGGGTGCATCCATTTATACTCTCACCAGCAGTCTAAGAAAGCTTGCGTTGCTTTACATCCTTGATATTATCTCTATTTTATTTGAACCATTTTAATGGGCATGTAATAGTATCTTATTGCAGTTTTAATTTGCATTTCCATGATGACTATTGAAGTTGAGTGCATTGGTTATTTGGATGTCTTCATTTGTAAATTACCTGTCAAAATTTTTGCTTAGTTTTGTAATGAATTAAAAAAAACAGTTGTCTTTTACCTATTAATTTATATGAGTTTTTTAATATTTTCTGGGTAAGACTCCTTTGTTGGAGATAAGCACATCCAGCAACTATCTTTTTCCACTTGTGTTTGTTTTTTTTATTCTCTTAATAGTGTCTTTTATAATTGGAAGTGCTTATTTTAATGCAACCCTATTTATCATTGCTTCTTTTGTGGCTAGAGCTTTTTGTGAGACGGCGTCTTTTGGAGAGCCAATCCTTTTGGGTGCAACTCTTCATCTTTCTGGGAGAAATCCTTGTGTGGTTCCCGCCAAGCATTTGTCTCAGGAGTTTCACTATGGTTAGTCATCGTACATTGTCACGGAGCTAGTTCTTGTTTCAGTGGCCTGACTTTGATCAGCTGACATTTTGTCTGGTCATGTTTGACTTTGTCCTGTTTAAGCCAAATGACTAAATCTCATCTGGTGCTCAGGTTGGATTTCTTAGTCTCAGGTACAATCTGACGGACCAGATTTGCCAGTTACCTACTCTAGCTAGTCTCAGCATCCCTAAGTTTAATTTTATCTCCAGTCTCTCTCTGGTAATGGATTTGCAACAGCTGTTGGCTCAGTTGTCCTAATCTTCACCTGGTAGGGAATGCTCGCAGCCCTTCTTTAGCAGATGCCCAGGCTATCTATCTATCTATCATCTATCTATCTATCTATCTATCTATCTATCTATCTATCTATCTATCTATCTATCTATCTATCTATCTATAGTTTTACTTTGACACCTCAAAGATAGGTGAATTTAGAGGACTGGAGGACAGGCAGGAGTCTGCCAAAGACTTTTTCTAACTAAATTAATAGCTTTCAATGCAGGTGACTTCTAGCTGAGAGAATGTAATAAGAGAACTTCTAGAACATGCCCTTAGTCAAAAGCAATAGCATCATCTTCATGTATTAAGGGAAGCATTGTTACTTATTTTTGAGCACATGTGATTATTACTAGGTATAAAGATAAAGAGAAGGAAATAAGAGTAAATACCAAACCCAGTGGGAGAGCAATAAAGGAGAAATGGCTGTATCTTTTCTTGGAATGCTAATGACAGTTTTACTGAACTTACTAAAGTCTGTGACCCAAATGTCCTTTTTTATTACACACTGATCATTCTGTTCATTATTTATGTTGATACGCTAGAATGCAAATTTGAGTGTTACCTTAATAAGTTGTTACCACAAATTTTATGTGGTAGGTATTTTTTATGAAATTAGGTTTAAATTGAATTTTATTCATCATGAGAAAATTATTAAAGTCCTCATAATGTTGGGTAAGTTCTGGATAATAATAAATGACAATTATTGAGGGTTTTCTCTGTGGTAGGTGCTGTTATTTACATATATTAATATATTTAATCCCCATAAAACCCTGTGAGCTTCAGAGTATCATTTTCATCATTTTAGAAATGAGAAATCAGAGGCACATAGAAACTTGCCCAAAGTAGCTCAGCTAGCAACGGGCACAGCCAGGATCTGACCCAGGACATCTGCCTTCAGCGCCTGTACTCTTAATCACTATGCCTTTAAAATTGATGCAGCTTCATGGATAATAAATACCAATAGATTTTTTACATTTTACAGATCTTACATGACTTATACAGATTTACAGATGTCTAAAGAACATACAGTGATTAGAATGATCCCTGGAATATAAATAAATAAATACATAAATAAATGACTTTAGTAGTTAAGAAAGCAGGAGGACAGAGATGTCTAGATTCCTCCTGAGATCTCAATAGCACAGGGAAGGAATGAGAGGTAAGATTTATCAAGCAGGTACTATATGTATCAAGTGCCATGGTAAGCAATTTATATGCATGCTCTCTTATTTTCAAAAACAACATTAAAATAAAAATTGTTAATCCTGGGTTAAAGATGAAGGCTGGGGCTATAGAGATTTAGCAACTACTCTCTACAAGGTTACACGAGAAGTAGAATGTCTGACTAGAGACTGTGTACTCTATGTTACCACTATCCTTCACTGTCTCCCAAAATGAAAACGTTTCCCAAGTGAATTCCTTGGTATGGAGTCAAGAATACAATTTGATATGCTGCTACTGGCTGGCTAAGCCTAACAGAGAGGCAGCTGAAGAGGTGCAGGGAAAGACTTTGCTATTATGATCTGATGGGCCCCATCTGAAAGATGAGATCTATGTTTATAAGTGAACTGATTGTTCAGCTGACCATACTGAAAGATAGGAAAAGCTTTATATAGGCTTGTCCTTGATGGATTTCTAGTTTGGGAACTATTTAGAGGGGATAATAGATTTCCATGTTTAAATCACTTTGGGAAAGTATCCCCTTCTTATTTAATCATAAAGCCTATAAGAAAATCTGCTGTTATTAGAAATATTCTTTTTAGCTTTTCCCCCTCAACAATTAAAGTTCATAACTATTTTTTGTATGCAAAACTGTAAGAATATCCAGCTTTATGGATAATAAATACGAATAGGTTTTTACATTTTACAGATTTTACATCTTATATGACTTATACAGATTTATATATATTTAAAGAACATATAGTAATCCCTGGAATATACACACTCTCCATCCATTCATATACAGTTCCACTAATTGAACATAGACTTTAAAAATAGACCTGGGAGCTATGTAATGTAGAGATGCCCTCTATGAAAGCTAGGCAGCTTTGGGCTCCAACAATGGAGTATGTTTTTATTGTCTATGGTCATATAAGGACAGCTTTACACAGGAATGATTTGCCTTTGTGATGGTTACAGACCAGAATGCACCTGCAACTGCACTTGCCCTCTGTTTGTACTTCCAGCCCCTCCTGTTGCTTGGACACATTTTTGAATCTCTAGGTAGGATTCCTTTTGTTGGCCCAAATATCGGGTGCGCATTGTGTTTTCTTTGGTAATATTTGGTTTAGTCAACTCTTCTACATGGATCACTGACATTTTGTGAGTTTCTAGCCTTAGCTACATGTATTTTCTTTCAGTCTTTACTCATTACCCTCATTTTTATTTCTTTCCTTTGCCTGCTTTCTGATGTAACAAGATATTAACTGGGACTTGTTATCTTAAAATTCCAGTTAGGGTCCCTAAGACAAAAGGTGTTACCTCCATGTTCTAAAGATAGGCACGAGACCATAGCAGGGAGACTTAATTGAAGAGAATAACTGATCTGGAAGAACTTCACTCCCAAACAGCCCAAGAGATACAAAAATTTGGAAGGAAATTCATAGAAGAGAATTCAAAGAGTTAGAGTCTATGAGGAAAGAAGTGCTTCCCTCTTCCAAGTCAATTTGGACCCTATTTAAACAGATAAAGGATTCTTTTTCTCATATAACAGTAAGTCTCAGAGAGCTGGCTGGTACCTTCAGTTATCTGCTATTTTCTTGACCTTTCTCCCTTGGTCACAAGATGGCCACCCAAGCTCAATGCCAAAAAAAAAAAAAAAAAAAGAAAGAAAAGAAAAAGAAAAACGGAGAAGAGCCCATCTCAAGGATACAGATCATTTATCAAAAATCCACATTATTTTCATTAACCTATTTGTTCATTCTTTTAGAAATACCATATTGTCTTGATTACCGGAGTTGTGCAGTAGGTCTTGAGGTCAAGTAGTATCATTCCTCCAGCTTTGTTCTTCTTCACTTTTTCAGAAGCATGTCAACAGATTTTCTGTTCAGTTTCATTTGCCAATATTCTAACACTTGGCCACCACTTGCTGAGAGGCTGGAAAAGCCACATTTAATGTTTTAACTCAACATGCAGAGTTGGAGATGCCTGTTGAGTTTGCCATCTGCTGTAAGTATAGATGTCGGGAGACCTTGGAAACCACAAATGCAGCCCATGCGTGAGTCGGCACTGGGAGCCTGCCATAAAGAAGAATATCAATAATGAAAACAAAACCAAAACCCAAACCAAAAACCATAACCAATACTTGCTAACTAGAAGGCCCTATGTTCCTTTTCCATAATTTTCCTACCTACTACCTTGGCCCTGGAAAATACAGTAGATCAGGGGTCCCCAACCTTCGGGCTCCTGGTGCTAGTCTGGTACTAGTCTGGGCCTGGTAGGAACTGCACTGCACAGCAGGAGGTGAGCTTGAATGTAATGTGTTTGAATCATCCCCAAACCATCCCACTGACCCTGGTCCATAGAAAAACTGTCTTCCACAAATCTGGTCGGTGGTGCCCAAATGGTTGGAGACTGATGCAGTAGATGGATGGGCCAGAAGATGAGGAAAGGTTGAAAGACCACACCATGCCCCTTTCCCTCACTGCAAGTCTCTGGCCAGGCAGACCTGAGCTGATGGAATGGGAAGAGCTCTGAATTTGATGTAAGACTGACATTTTAACTGGATTGGACTTCTAAGTTTTTATTTAATTTAACTTTTTAGTATCTTAAATGACAAGGAAGCCATGGGATATGCTGAGAAAATGTTAAAGGATAGAAGAGGAGATCTAACACAGTACCTTAGTTGGGAGCTTTGCCTGGAGGAAGTTAAATCCACTTCCTGGTTGTGCCTCCACTGAGTTAAGCCCCTTCAACAAGCTGGTTATGCTGGAAAATATAAATTTCTCTAATCCTGGCTGTTCAGCCAAAGTCTTAATAGTTCTTCCTGGCTCTCATCTGATAGCCTTTTCATGAGATAGGGATGCTGGATCTGTCAGTACAAGACAACTTTGGGAGAGAACCTGGGGTCTGTGAGACAAGGAGAAAGCCCAGTAGGAATATTTAGAGGAGGTTAATTGTAACAGGATAACAGCAAATCCTGGTCTATCACTAGCTGTCTTTGTGATCTCTCTCTAGCATTGAGTTTCGTACTCTGAAATGACTGCACTAAAGAAAGTGATTGTAATAGATACCTCTTGTGATGGCTGCCTGGCTCCCTCCATTCCCAAGATATTGCCTATGATACCTAGGGATTTTGTGGGTTTATGTGGCCCAGTGCTCCTCCAGAGCTAGTGAACCAGGGGAAGATATCTGTCCCAGGCCAGGGCAAGCTGTCTTTCCTGGTATTCTTGAATAGGAGGACACAGAAGGACAATGTTAATGTTGACTATTATTGGTAACCGGCAGTGGCTGGTCCCAGAAATGCCCAGCTTCTTGCTCTTCTTGGAGCTTGATGGCTCAACTCATCCTTGGTTTTCATGAGGATCCCTGGTAGCCTTTCAGGAAATTCTTCACTTTCCTTAAGTTGCCCAGAACTGTTTTGTATGGCTTGCAATCCAAGGTACTTTTTTTAAGGGTCCATTCAACTTCCACAATTCTATTATTCTTTGATTTAATGGTACCTGTTACTCTTGAACATAGAGGAATGAAAACTTCTGTGTTGATAACAACTGGTAGCTTTGGCACTGGTGAGTGACTGAAGTTTTGGGCAGTGTTTATGCTAATGAACACTAAAGATAGTCCTTTTAATAACAACAGATATTTTAGATAAATTTGTACTTGTTACACATGGAGGACATTTTTAGTTTAGCAGTTCACATTAGAGATCTTAGTGATGTTTATAGAAAAGGATTTTAGTTTCCAGTGCAAGAAATAAGTGAGCCAAATCAGATTTTCCAAGTCACCATATCAAAGGCATGCACTGTGTCTAAGGAGCTGAGTGTATACTTAAATTGGTTTATCACTTAAATCTCATGCACTATCATCTCATTGTATTGAATTCAGTGGATATTTCCAGGTCAAGTCTTATTTTTAATGTTCAGGTGAACATTAAAAAAGGTGAATTCAAATTAAATATATTTTCTTTTTAAATTTTAAGTGTATTTTATTAATTATGCTATTACAGTTGTCCCAAGTTTTTTCTCCCCGTTCTCCCCCCTCCTCCCTGCACTCCCCCACCCTCCACCATTGCCCCATCCCCTGCTTAGTTCATGCCCATGGGTTGTACACATAAGTTCTTTGGCTTCTCTGTTTTCTATACTATTCCTTTTTTAAAAAAATTTATGACCATTCTTTCTTTCTTTTTTTTAAAAAAGATTTTATTTATTTTTAGAGAAGGGAAGGGAGGGAGAAAGAGAGAGAGAGACATCATTGTGTGGTTGCCTCTCACGTGGCCCCCACTGGGGACCTGGCCCGCAGTCCAGGTACGTGCCCTGACTTGGAATCAAACCTGTGACCCTTTGGTTCACAGCCCACGCTCAATCCACTGAGCTACACCAACCAGGGCCTTGTCCTATTCTTAACCTGCCCTCATCTATTTTATGCCTACCAATTATTCTTATTCCCTGTACCTTTCCCCACCCCATTCTTCCCCTCCACCCTGCCACTGATAACCTTCTAGGCGATCTCCATTTCTCTGATTCTGTTCCTGTTCTAGTTGTTTGCTTAGTTTTTGTTTTTTAGGTTCAGTTGTTAATAGTTATAAGTTTGTTGTCATTTTATTGTTCATAGTTTTTGATCTTCTTCTATTTCTTAGATAAGTCCCTTTGACATTTCATATAATAAGGGCTGGGTGATGATGAACTCCTTTACTTGACCTTACCTGGGAAGTACTTTATCTCCCCTTCCATTCTAAATGATACCTTTGCTGGATAGAGTTATTTCGGATGTAGGTCCTTGCCTTTCATGACTTTGAATACTTCTTTCCAGCTCCTTCCCTTCTTGCCTATAAGATTTCTTTTGAGAAATCAGCTGAGAATCTTATGGGAACTCCTTTATAGATAATTGTCTCCTTTTCTCTTGCTGCTTTTAAGATTCTCTCCATATCTTTAATCTTGGATAATGTAACTAGGGTGTGCCTTGTGTGCTTCCTTGGATCCAACTTTTTTGGGACTCTCTGAGCTTCCTGGACTTCCTGGAAGTCTACTGTGTTTGCCAGAATGGGGAAGTTCTTATTCATTATTTTTTCAAATAAGCTTTCAATTTCTTGCACTTTTTCTAACTCTGGCATCCCTATGATTCAGGTGTTGAAACATTTAAAGTTGTCCCAGAGATTTGTAAGCCTCTCTTCATATTTTTGAATTCTTGTTTCTTCATTCTGTTCCAGTTGGATGTTTATTTCTTCCTTTTGTTCCAATTAGTTGATTTGAGTCCCAATTTCCTTCCTTTCACTGTTGGTTCCCCATATATTTTGCTTTATTTTATTTTGTATAGCCTTCATTTTTTTCTTCATTTTGCAACCAAGCTCAGTTTTGTGAGCATCCTGATTACCATTGTTTTGAACTCTGCATCACATTCATTGTCTATCTTCTCATGACTTAGCTCTTTTTCTGGAGTTTTGATCTGTTTTCTCATTTGGGCCATATTGCTTCATGTCAGCATATCTGTTTGTTGTAAGGAGGTAGAGCCTTAGGTATTTGCCAGGGTTGGGCAACCCTTGTTGTTGCTGTGTTGTGGTGCTATCTGTTGGGCAGGGGTCAGAGAGGCAACAGTGCTGCTTGCTCCACTCTAGCCCCAATTTCCAAGGAATTCTCCTGGGAGACTGGGATTTTCTCCCACTGTTGCCATCCCCACAGTATTTTATAGGTAGAAGTTTTGAGTCTTTACTTTCCCACTCAGCCAGCCCCGCCTTGCCCATGTGGTCTTCTGCCATGCCGCACATTCTCTCTGTTCAGCTGCCTATCCAACATATTTTGTCTTAAATGCCATATGTTATTACACTATAATCTGATTATCAAATACCTATCAAAATAAGTTTAAAATTAAAATGCGTAACCAGAATACTACAGTTTACAAGTGTAATTAGCTGCTTTACTATGAAACTTCCTAATAATGGACTCTTTATGTTTCTTTAATAAATTATTGTTACTGATTTTCCCAAGTGCAAGGCATACCACTTGGTAGATAGAAAGCAATATTGCAGAGAATAAATAGGAATACATTTGTGATACTGGGTGTCAGGATGTTACTAACTTAACCCGGGGTGGGGGGTGATAAACAAGCTGAAACAAAGAGTTACATGAGTTGGCCTAAAATTAACTTGATTAATATTAGTAGTACAGGCATAATGTTTGTGCAAATACAGGCACATACTGACTCTAAAATAATTTATTTGTTTATAACAAAGATAAAAGAATGCACAAAAAGTATAGAAAGAACCAACTAAGACACGAAAGTATAATCAGAGGTGGTGGGTTTTTTTAAAATTTAGTTTTGCTGGAGATCTATAAATCTTTCTTTATAGGAAGTTTTTGCTTGGAAAACCATGTATGAAAAGTACTTTACGAATTCTATTCTTTCTTGATAAGTGATAAAATGTAGAGTTTTACCACAGTTTTCCCACCCTTTGAACAGTGTTTTGGGCAGGGCCTCTGACATCCAGCAAATTGCCTGGTACCTAGCATGCATGCAAAAAACATTTGTTAAATGAATTAAAATGAACAGATAAATATTCGGATTTAAAAAATCAATGTAAGTCTCCTTTGCAGTGCATACATCCACACAGCTCCCACCTAATCTAGTAGCTCATTATGCATTTCCATTTCCTGGTGCCAGCATTATCTGTTGAACATATCAAATAAATAAGAACCAAATTAAATTTGTGTTTTTCCTACTCAAACCGGCTCCTCCTTCTTATTTCCAGTACTCTGAATGCAACCATAATCCTCCTCCTACTCACCCACTTCCCATAGCCTTCTTTGACAGGTTGAGTAAACATGGAGTTTATTCTTTTTCTACTGATTTTTCCCCATCCAGGTCTCTGCTCCTACTGTGCTTAGCCTCCACTTCCTTTCGCTTGGGCCAGTGAATACCCTCTATCTGTCTCTTCTTACCAATCTAGTCTTAATTTTTGTTGCTGGATTGCACCCCTGCTCCCCTCCAAAAGAAAAAAAAAGACGGTTAAGAGTCTGGATTCTGGCTCTGATTAGTAGTGTTGTGATCAGGAACTTGGACTCTGGAGCCAAACCTCCTGATTTATGGTCTGCCTTTCAAGGACTTCTCTTCCAACCTCATTTCTCACTTTACCTTTTAGCCAAAATTCTTCCTTCCATCTCTAACCTAGATTTTAATGGCCAGTTCACCTTACCACTTCCCTGAAATAATCTTCCTCTCCTAGAAACTGCCCTAGCATGGCTCCTACACGTCTCACTACTTGCTCTGTACATATTGCACGCATCCCTTAAAATTTTTAAAAAATTTCTCTTGGAAGAACACAAGTTTCTTGAAGGCAGGGTATTAACTGTATTCTTGTTTTATATTTCCAGTAAGTTATGGTGTGACTGGAATACTGTAGCTCCTCGAAAAATATTGGCGAATGACATCAATTTACAGAAGTCTGACTCTGAGAGTCTCCCCTTTGGTCTGCACGGGTTTATCCAAATCATAGCATTGTATATGGAAATGGGTGAACATAATGTATGTAAATTAGATCTTTTAAAAAGCTGACAAAAATTTTCTTGAGGAACTCACAAAGCTTTCGTATATGTGGGCTACATGTATGGATATTCAGCATATTAAAACTTACAGAACAATTTAAAATAGTTCCGTATTCATTTTAAAAACACCAAATGCACTAAATGTTAACATTAATAATGTATTTTCATTCATTCAGCTGCTCACTTTCCCCGGTCTAACACAGCTCCCACCACTGAGAAGGTGCTGAGCCCTTATTAGGAGAACAGTTTAAGCCCAAAAGAAGCAGCCTGAACCCTCTACCCCGCCCACCCGCCGACTGCGGGGAGCGCGCCGACGGCTCCCGGGAACTGCGGCCCCGCCCCTCCACGCCAAGCGCAAGTGCAAGGGCGCACGCGCGGGGCTCCTGGAGGCCGCGCAAAGGAGCGCCCCTGCTAGTGCCCATCCCCCAACTTTCACCGCGTGAGTCGGGAACCCGTACCCCCGGCTGCCTGGTCGCCGTGGTAGGTCGTTGTCATGGCCTCTCCGTGGGAAGAACTGACTCTTGCCTTTTCTAGCATGTCTATGTTCCCTTTTTTTGACATCGCTCACTACTTGGTATCCGTGATGGCGCTGAAGCGTCAGCCGGGTGAGTGCGGGGCGCCGGGGAGCGGCCCCCTCAGGTGAGGACTGCCTGAGTTGGGTGAGCGGGGAAGCTACTGGTACCCTAGAGAGCCGTGTAGTCCAGCTGGAGAGGCGCCAAGGGTCGTCTCCATGGACCCCTCCTGTGCAGCTAGGGCGATTGAGGCTGGGAAGGGAGGTGGTCCCGGTAACCGTCAAAGGCGGCGCGACCTGGGGTCTGCGACGTCCGGCGCTGGCCCTACAACGCGCGAAGCAGTCCCGGGCAGGTGACCGGGAGGTGCAGCCGCTGGCGGAGCCCCGGTACTGCCGGTCCCCGCCCAGGATTTGCACAGTCTCCTGGGGCTGCCACCTTGGAAAGTATTTAAAAGTCACCTGGGAACAAAGCTTCCGGAGACGGAGTGTCTGACTTACATGCTTGGAGTAATGGATAGTTGCGGACCGCTCCCCAGTTATGAAAGTTGTATAAACACTTACTGGTAAATCAAAGGTCTCAAGTAGGCACACTAGTCTGGCACACTTCGTTATATTGCGCTTCGCTTTACTGGGCGTCTTTTTTTTTTTTTTTTAACAAATTGAAGGCAGCACCTCCCTCGTCCTCCCCGCCCCAGCAAAAGGATTGCCGCCAGCCCTCGGTTGTCTGGAGCCGAGGGTTTGGGGCTGGAGGATGATGCTGTACTTCTCATGGACTGCTCGTTTTTCAAACCTTTGTACCCCAGATATATTTTTCATTTACGTTGAAGTTTGTAGCCTAGTCTAGATCGTTGTTTGGTAGAAGTTTTGACTTGGATAGGGGGGAATTCATTGTATTATATAAGGACCGATAATCTGCATATCATATTGCTTCCTTGATTTGAAAAGAAGTACATTTTTTTATTTCCTATTCAGCAGTTGTTATTTTTCTGTGTAGGCTAAATCAGTGGTTCTCAAAGTGTGGTCCAGGACACTTGCAGGTCAAATTTATTTTCATCATAATATACAGATGTTATTTGTCTTTTCCACATTCATTTTCTCATAAGTACGGTGGAGTTTCCCAGAGGCTACAGAATCAGTGATACTGTAAGAGATTGAATGAAGAAGCAGATATGTGAATCCAGCTTTTTTCTATTTGAAGCCAGACCTTAAAGAGATTTCCTAAAATATAAAACAGTGTGGCTTTTCTCCCTAAATGGTTATTGCTTTGGAAAATAGCTATTTCCATAAAGAATACATGATTTGTGTTAACATTGAGTACATTTGTTGTTTTTAAAATGAATATCTAAAGACCTGTTTAAAATTTTTTCATTATGACTTCTGATAGTCTAAATATTGATACATGACACTCACATAAGCAAAAAGATCTTTGAGGTCTTTAAGAATTTGTTTTAAGTCAGGTTTTCTAAAGGTTTAATTTACATGCATTATGTGCACCCTTTTAAATGTAAAGGTCTGTGATTTTGGACGAACACATACTGTTCTGTAACCACTGCCACCAACACTTTCATCACCCAACCGGAATTCCCTCCTGCTCTTTTGTAGTCAGTCCTCCCCTGGCCTCCGGCAAACATTCACCTGTTCACTAATTTTTAGGGGTACAGAGGAGTCCTGGAACCAAAAAATTTGAGAACCACTGGACTAATTGAATGCTATCACATAATTGCATATGGTGTGAAAATATTTTATATTCCAGTACTAGTACTTGTAAACAAAATGATAGAATTCACACACAAAAAATATACTATGTCCATTTAAGCTTTTACCAGGAGTGTGTTAGACGGACTTCCACAGTATGGGCTTTTATCAGTCTTAAATATCTTATCATTCTAATGATCAGAAAACACAGTTTTTATTTGCATCTGTCCTGGTTAATATATTTGTGCTGCCTAAGTTTCTTGATCATCTGTACGTCCACTTCTGTAAATCTGTTGAATTGATCATATTGTTTTTGCTATTTAAAAAGTAATGTATTACATTTAAAAAATGACTCTAATATTCTTGGATTAAACTCTATTTGTTTGATGTATTATTTAAATTTTTTAGGAATTTTGATTTGCCTGTACTTTATATAAATTTTTAGTTAAAATTGGCAACTTCTTTCCTTCTCCTGATACTGATTCTCTAGAACTCAGCCCTGTCATACAATGAAATTACAATTTATCTATATACTACTTACCAGGGTTCTTATTATTTTTATCTTCTTAAGCACGTTACTCGTTGAGACTCTAACTTTCGGAATGTACTCTTTACCGCTGCTAATACCTCACCCCCCACTTTCCTACCGTTTACATTTTATGATTTGTAGTCTTTGCCTAGATTTTTAAAAATGCAACTGTGGAGGCAACCGTATAAAGGGGTATTAACTATTTCTATCTATAGTGTAGATGAGGATAGCATGCCTTTTTAATTTGGTTCAGGATGTAGGCCTTCCTGTCCAAGGAGGGATGATGGTTCCCTCTTTTCTTTTTCTGTGTGACTTGTGTTTAAGCAAAGATATCAAGGTATTTAATAAATTTGTTTTTTTATTTTTATTTTTTAGTTTACCTCCATTTATCTCATAATTAACTTTGGTTCCTGTTGAACCCTGGCATCTGATTGTCTGTGGCTTTCAGTTTTGGCAAGTAGTATAGATTTTTGTTTTCTTTCTCTTTACCTAGGTACTTTATTAGGAAATTGTAAAATGCTGCTTTGGGAACTGTTAGAAACGATAACAGAAAATTTACATCATCAATTTTAATCTCCTATCTTATCTTCTCATATCTTCTCTGTCTCTTATTTAATTCTTAAACACATTTCTTCAATTTTATAGTCATATCCAATTACTGTTTTCTGTGAGAGTTTCTGAAAATTTAATCTACAATTATTTCTACTTGATTTTTACAGGTCACATCTGTTGTTTTAATCTTAATTCTTCCATTACTGTTTTGCTAACCTCTCTCAAATATTTGTTGAAACTACTGCATATGTTACTACATTAGATGTCGAAGTTACCAATATGGAAGATACTATTCTGGCCCTAAAGAAACTCAGCTGGGCTGTTGTCATCTTTTTATTTTTTTTATAAGGTCACATAAGGTTGCACTTCTTTTCCTACACAATAATAATATTCATTTCAGATACATGTAAAACATTTCACTCTATTCTAATCCTCACATATCCCTTTAAGGTAGGTATTACTGAATTCATTTTACAGATGAGGAATAGTCTTAAGAGGAATAAAATAAACTTTCTTAAGACACATAATTCAGTAAATTATGGAGCTAGTTCTTCCACTTACTCCAAAGTTTTCAGCTATTCTTTACTCGGTCTTTGCAGGCTCATTTAGTGTTCTCTGGTTTTTCAGTGTTTAGCAATTCCTCCGTAAGTGGTCATTTGATACAGTTATTTTCTCCCATGATTTCTGTCATTTCCATGCCACCAGTTTCTACTTTGCTCTTAGGAATTAAATCTAGGAATAAAGTTTGTTATTATTCCTCTAATTTGTGGGAGATGAAAGGATTAATAATCAAGAATTTATCAGTTTGGGATTTTGGAAGGTAGCAGCATAGTTTTACTGTCTTTATGAATCCCCATGAAAAACATACAAAAAGTGTTAAAGTCCTAAATGTACAGCTTAGTGAGTTTTCACAGTGAACATCTGTGTAATCAACATCCAGATAAAAGGAGAACATTCATAATGCTTCCAAAGCCCCCTTTGTTATGAGATGCTGTAAAAAGATTCTGCCCAGTATCTGGTGGGAAAGGATGTCTCAGAAATGACAACCCATAATTTACTTCTTTGTGTTTAGAGAATCTTACTTGAATTGTCTTTCCATGTTTTAATTGAAAGGAAAGTGAGAGCATTTAAGTGACCTGACATAAATATTGCTCAGGGAGTATAGTTAGTAGGAAGAGCTCATGAACTCAGGAGACTAGTGTTTATTAGTTCAAACTCTCCTGCTGACTGGGTAGCTTGGGATATTTATTGTGCTGTGAGTGAACTGAACTAGAACACCCACTGAGTAAGTATTCCCCTCTCAGGAACCTCAGTTTTGGCTCTAAAGAGCTCTTCCTGTAAGCTTCTAACTTTTAGTAATTTCAACCTATTCTTTGTTTCCCCAGCAGAGGTAATTACTTTCTTCAGCTGCTACCTCTATACCACAGTATTTACTATTTACCTTTTCAAAATCTAGTTAACAATTCCATACTCACTTCTTTTTTAAAAAAATTTGTTTGTTTGTTTGTTTGTTTATTTATTTATTTTTAGGCCTCACCCAAGGACATGCTTATTGATTTTAGAGAGAAGGGATAGGAGAGAGAGAGAGAAAGGGAAAGAAACATCAGTGTGAGAGAGAAACATCATTGGTTGCCTCTTGTACTTATCTGGACCAGAGACCAAACCCACAGCCCAGGCATGTGGCCAGGAGTGGAACACACCACCAGTCTCTGGGACAATGATCCAACCAACTGAGCCACACTGGCTAGGGCTACCCACATTTAAATATATATATATACATATATATATATAAACCTACTTTATATTACATTCTCTCTGTTAAAATAACTATATTTTCTATTTTTTGACTGGACTCTGTTACAGAAACTTAGCAGTGCAGTTTAACCTTCTACTTTATGGTTTGCGTATAGGAGTGGGCAAAAGTAGGTTTATAGTTGTTCATAGGGAAAATAACACAATAATTAATAAAAATAACACATGAATGAACTCTATTTTGGGTACTTAAAACTGTAAATCTTTTTCTCACCCCTGTATATCATGGTAAGATATCTAAAGTACTGGCTACTTCTTGTCCATAGATCCATTCAGTATAATGTCTTCAGTGTAGTGAGCCAGTTGTGATGTTGTGTGGAGTCTCATTATGATCAAAATCTCTGTGGACTTGAAGAGCAGGAGAGTTGACGTAGACCTGAGGCAAAACTGTGATAGTGAACTCAGTCTTGCTAGGTGAAAATAAAGTGTCTGGGGTTATTTGCAAATTCATATGAAAAAAAGTATTTGCTTACCAGGTTACAGGGGTGGTGTTGGTTTGTTTCAGTAAAATACTGCATCTAGAATACTAGCTGCAACTGGAGTCACTCTGTGTCTACATTTATGATAATCACAGTTATTCTCCAAATTTATCCATCTTGTGTGTAGACCAGACAGTTAAATGGCACATGATAGCTATTATCACCTTTTCATTTGTCAGGTTTTTTGGTTATGGCACCCATCTTTTATTTTTTAAAATATTTTATTTATTTATTTTTAGAGAGAGGGGAAGGGAAGGAGAAAGAGTGGGAGAGAAACATCAGTGTGTGGTTGCCTCTCATGTGTCCCCTCCTGGAGACCTGGTCTGCAACCCAGGCATGTGCCCTGACTGGGAATTGAACTGGCGACCCTTTGCTTCACAGGCCTGTGCTCAATCCACTGAGCTACACCAGCCAGGGCTCAGCACCCATCTTTTAGTAAAGGTTTTTTAAAAAGATCTTTAGAGGCTTCTGCTTGACCATTCCTACCATAATGATTCTTGGGTCCAAGGATCAATTTGGGGATTGTGCCAGTTGCCAAA